TACAAAATAATGGAGATTTTCTGAACAAAGCCAGCTTAGTTATTTGTCTGTTGCTTTGGATGTTTCTGATTAGATAAAACAACTAATGAATTGAACTCTGAAGTTCAAAGTTGAAGTTTGGTATTGATTTGGTAGCAGAAAGTCCTAGTGCACTATTGCTACATACAAAAATAATGGGAAAAGCATGAAGTAGATGGATATGTGGGTGAGGATGTGTCAAGTGTTTCCTTAGCAAGATTTGTGTTGTTAGGACTGTGTAGGCTGTGATGGAGAATGGACAGGAAGACTGCAAAGCAAATGGCTGTTGTGAAGAATGTGTTAAGGACTTGGAGGGCTGGGCCTTGGTGATGCTTGCACTATTTGCTTGTGACCTTGAAGCCTGTCTGCTATATGTGATGAAGGTCAGAATCCCACTACTGTAGAGTGAAATAACTCGTTATGTTTCCCAGGACTGGGTAACCCCAGAGACCATACTTTGTGGATTTTTCTGACTGAGTCCTGCCAAGGGGGCTTACATATGTCACTGTATCTCAGTTTTTAGGCAGGTCCTGTAAAGAGTGCTCCCCATTTGAGTCACCTTCCGTTTAGTGCACGTGGTCTTGCCATAGTGAGCTTCAGAATGAGCAAGGAGTCTTTAGCCAGCTTGCTCCTCCTGTTCTCAGAGCCTTTTTTTTTACCAGACATGTGAACACTAAAAAATGACTAAACTTTTCTGGACCATGTTTTCATGTTCATGATCTTATCACACAGCATTATTTTGGGGGAATAATTGAACTCACATATGGAAACCACTGAGGACAGTACCAAGTATGTGGTATTTTTTGCCACCTAATCTATCTTTTTGAAGCAGCAGTAAGTGATCTAGCTTTTTGCTTGGCTGACTGCAAGTGGTACATGGCACATGGCTGTTGATCTCTTGGTACATTCCTCCATTCATGGCAGTCCAACCATGAGCCAGGTTGCTCACCGTAGGCTTGCACAGAATGCACTCACACACAGGAATCCAGCTCTAGTTTCTTCCCTATGTATTACAGTCTATGAATTTTAGTTTTTTCTCTGCAATCCTGTGGTGAAAATATCTACTGTGCCCCCTGAATGTGTGGTTTGGTCAATGCAGAGATAATATTTCTCTTTCATATTCATTGATAAGTTCTATTCTTGCAATGCAAAGTTACACTTTCTGTTTCTTGTCCACATTATGCTTTCAAGTCAGTTTGTTAGCTATAACCAAAGGACTCCAGATCCATCCCCACACTTACTTATTCTAAAAGTGACTCCTTCATTTATTGACTGTATTGACTGCTTAATGCAGATTCAACTGCCAGGTTGGTAATTGACAATAGATATACTCCTTAAGGAGTTTATAGTTCCCTGGCATGTCATGCGTGGAAACAGATTTGTAATAAAGTGTGATTGTGATAATTGTTTTACTAGAAATGTGCAAAGAGTATATATGATAGCACAAAGCTAAGCACCCAGTTCTCAGTGGGAAGAGAAAGTGAGGGCATGTCAATGAGGATAGTAGTGGGGAGAATATTTCCATGGCATAAAATCCTAGCCACAGGGGCTGGAGAGATGGCTCAGAGGTTAAGAGCACTGGCTGTTCTTCCAAAGGTCCTGAGTTCAATTCCCAGCAACCACATGGTGGCTTACAACCATCTGTAATGAGAACAGGTGCCTTCTTTCACCCTACAGGCAGAAAGAACACTGTATGCATAATTAATAAATAAAATTTAAAAAAAAGAAAAAAAATCCTAGCCACAAAGAAAATGGGTGAAAGGATTATTTAAATAGAGGAAAATAAACATGGCATGGAACAGCCTGGGATTCTGTTCACCATGTCTGGTAGATCCTGCAATTGCCTGGCAATCATTTAGAGGAGTGGCTAGCGTGGATGAGGACCAGATTATCAAGGGTTCACATGTTGTAGCAGAGCAGGCAAGTAATAGTTAATCCCATGAATGATAAGCCAGTGAAAATGGTTTTAGGTCAGAAAAGAACATGATTTGACTGATGTACATTTTGAAGATTTGTATGCTGGTAGCTTATAAAGTGTGATTTGGGACTAGTCACACAAGTACAACAAATTCAGCAGCATTACCATCGAGCAACACAAAACAAAACATGAAACCATGATTGAATTATGACTATAGAAATAAAGAAAGGAACCTTTTGATAGATTTGTTGGCTGGCTAAATGTCACTATCTTGGGCACTTTGAGTAATGAGCAGCCTGGAACTTGTAAGAAAGAGGGAAGAGTTGAGACTCAAATACCAGGTGGGTGACAGTGACATGTATAACAGGAAAGGGGTAAGGGACCGAGTTGTGAGAATGAAGCATCCCTGCCCCTTTCATACCTTTGAAATCCATGGGGCGTCTACATAGAAACATAGAGCAGGCATTTGCCTCTCATATAAGAAACTCAAGAGCGATTACTGTTGAGTGTTTGGAGACGAGGTCTTGGGGTTCATCCATTCCTACGCATAAGTCGAATGATACCTTAAAAGAGCTAGACACACTCAGGATGACAACCCCAGCCCATAAAAGAGGGTGGGGGAGGGTACTTTTGGAAGATGATTTTTGCAAGGTATGTCAGTTGGGGAGTTGGCTAAAAACAAGTTAAAAAGGAAAAAAAGGTCATCATAGAGCCTATGGCCAAACCTATGTTTGTAAAGTGAAGTTGGGCCAAGCTGTGGGAAACAGGCTTTTGAGTATGTGTCCCAGATAGGAATTGTGGTTTGGCTGGCCTGCTTCCTTTTGGATAAATTCTTTTTCTTTGGGACTCTAATTCTAGTGTATTCTGATTTGTACATTCTAGCAGGGGCTTGTGGCAATTTATTAGTTCAAGTGGGGTAAAAATATCTCCCATGATTTTTCTTTTGTTTTTAATGGAGAAGAATTCAAGCAGAAATTATGTAAATGGAGTTCTTAATTGGTCTAAATAATAAACACTTGGAGTCAGATATACAGGAAAATGCTGAGCGATCAGAGAGAAGGAGCAAGCCAAAGCCACCTTTACCTCATTAGCTTCCCAGTGGAAAAGAGAGTGAGTTCCTGTTTCTTCCCACCTATATCCTCTCTCCACCCAGCCATCTTACTTCCTGTCTGTATGTACAGACCTTCAGACCTCTAAGATTAGCTAGGGGCAAACTCCATCCTTTGATCTTATGATATCCTTTATTTGTACAAGCAAGATATAACCACACAAGGATTATTTTGGGGGCAGCTTTTAGAGAGAAGCCCCGCCATTTCTTCACAGATTCAAGCTACCTAAAAAACAGCATCAAGAGCAGCATTTAAAATAAGAAAAAAAAAATGAACTTTGAGTTTTCATGCATTTCAATTTTGAGTTCCTTTAAAGCAGAGGCCAGGAGTATTTATCTTAATGTCCCTAGCACTCAGCCCAGAGCCTGGCATACAGATGTGCTCCATAAGCCCTGGTTTTCTTTCTTATTTACATTATACATCTCCATATTTGAGCATTTCTGAACTGTCTTAACATACTCTATAACATGGATGCCATTGTATTATTCCTTTTTTCCCTTCCTTCTTCCCTCCATCCCTCCTTCCCTTCCTCCCTCTTCTCTCTCTCTCTTCCTCCCTCCCCCCTCTCTCTTTTCCTGTCTTGTGTTTATGTATACGTTTGTGTATGTGTCTAGGAATTGCTCTGCCTCACACACTGTCCACCTTATTTTTATTTTAGTTTAGTTTTTGAGATAAAGTCTCCCACTGGAAACTGGACCCTCCTGTTTCTGCCTCCCCAGTGCTGTATTACAAGCATATGTCACCGGGCCCAACCTCTTTTACATGGATTCCGGGGACAGAACTCAGGTTCCCCCATGCTAAAACAGCATGAGCTTTACGGATTGAGTGTGTGCTCAACCTTAATTCTACTTCTTTTAACTACTAAAAGTTCAGTATGTTATTCTTACTCCAAACCTTCAAGTGGAATGGGGCCTTATTTCAGGGCTGTTCATATGTCACAGCATCTGAGAGCTGGCCTGCCGCTTCTCTCTGTTGCTTCTGCTTCTTGTGTTCTGGTTTTCCTTTCTCTTCAAAATGTTCATAGTTAAAAACAAAGTAGAATAGAGCAGATGCATTCTGAACATTTTTTCCTCCCTTAAAATGTCAATAGCTTCACCGTTCTGTGGAGATTAGAGTCTTGTCATGGTCATCTCTGTTCTGCCTCATCAGTCCCTCCATTTGTCAGAGTAGGTGATGGTGGACCCTCTCTCTGATATCTGGGAAACAGAATTCACAGTAACTAGGTCACAGCCTTTACTTGATTTGCAGGTGAGAGCATCTCAGGACATTGCTTTAACTCTGCTCCATTTTGCAATCTGGTAGTCCAAAAACAGTGACTTTCTTGATTTTGATACATTTCTCAAAAAAAAAAAATATGAATGTCTTTCTGTTCTTACTTTGGAATTTGTCTCAATGACTATTGCTAGAAGATAGAGGGAATTTGGAGTTCGTGTACCAACCCTAGATTTAGCTCTGTTCATCCAGGCTGGGACAAATCATAATGGAAATAATGATGATCTTTGCTTCTTGTTCCTGTATGCACAGAAATGTTTATTGTATTCTTGCTGGTGAGACTGGGTTTCCCTATTCAGAAGGGGCAGTTTTTACCTATTAGAGAGTAAAGAATAAACAGAAACTTTAATAACAAGAAAAAGGAAGGAGCCTGGATGAGCCACCTCTTTAACTATATCCTGTGCAGAGTGCATTTGAAAACTGTTACTTCTCTCAGACAGAACAGTTCTTAGCCAATGGGAACTTGTTTCTGCTAGTAAATTTTGAGAAAACATTCTATTCCTGTGTAGAGTAGAATTTGCATTTTAAAGAAAACTATTTATCACTTTGGTTTTTTTTTCTTGTTTACTTAAGATTGAAGTTTTCTTATATGTATGCTTTTTAAAATATAATTTAGTGACCAAATTCATGAAAGTAGCCTGTCATATTTTTCCTATATATATATATATATTTTCATTTTGCAGGGAATCAGCAGCCTCTTCAGTTCTTTAAAGGTGGTGCGCCTCTTACGCCTGGGCCGTGTTGCCAGAAAACTGGACCATTACCTGGAGTATGGAGCTGCGGTCCTTGTGCTCCTGGTGTGTGTGTTTGGATTGGTTGCCCACTGGCTGGCCTGCATCTGGTATAGCATTGGAGACTATGAGGTCATTGATGAAGTCACCAACACCATTCAAATAGACAGCTGGCTCTACCAGTTGGCCTTGAGCATTGGGACTCCATATCGCTACAATACCAGTGCAGGGATCTGGGAAGGAGGGCCCAGCAAGGATTCCCTGTATGTGTCCTCTCTTTACTTCACCATGACGAGCCTTACGACCATAGGATTTGGAAACATAGCTCCCACCACAGACGTGGAGAAGATGTTCTCAGTAGCCATGATGATGGTTGGCTGTAAGTACCTTTTTTTCCCCTTTCTCCATTAAAAATTTCAGTGTTTGAAAAATGTTCCCCTGGTTTCAAATTCTTGACTGGATTTAAATGATCTACATTTTCTTAAGAAAAGTTTTAATTGAAACCATTGGCAATTGGTTTTTACTTTTGATTCAGCCCTAGGAATAAAAATGCAGGGAGTGTATTTCACTCTCTAGAATGCATTAACACATGAAAAACAGCGTGGGGAGGATGATAGAAAACTCAGACTGGGGAGTCTGATTTGATTCCATGAATGGTGTTGTACCTGGCAGCTCTTGAGAAGGAACTAGCTCTGCTATCTAGACAGGAGGTGTCTGGCACATTCTGTAGGTTTTGTTGGCAGCCAGATCTCTAAAAAAGCAGATGGGATATGATGTAAGACCATAAGTTAGAAAATATTTTAGTCAATAACTGAATTTCTGAATTAAAGTGGACTTCAGGATACAGTTTGATGTATTTCCTTTTTTATAATGAAGACTAGTGAAAAGAAGTTCATTAATCCATTTTTTTTGACAAACACTGTAGTCAGTTGAGTTTGTGATAGAGAATGAAAGGATTGGAGAGTTAAAGGCCCTTAGCAGTGACAAGGGTCCAAGATGCATTCCTGACTAAAGTGACTTGGTGATGTTCTTTGAAAGTAGAACACCCTTTCAAAGACCATGTGCTCTGCCCCCACATTCTGACTGAATGGCATCAGCATTCCAGACATGAAAGCAGTACAAACCTTAGATTGTGTTTCAAAATGTCTCGAAGGAAAGTTTTCAGGTCAGGCATTTTCCCCTTCAAGCTGACCTACCTGACTCATTCAAGTCTAGTTCAGATACCTAGAGTAATTTTAAGAAAGTTGTGTTGAAGATGGGGTCACTATTAACATATGTCATAACTCTTGAAGTCATTATCATTGATGTTGGTGTGAGCCTCCCCCCCCCCAGGCTCCAAATTGTAAAGCTTCAGATGTAGGCATTCACAAGATATATTTTTTAGAGGTCAAGGTTATTGGTTGGCCTGAATAGTGAATACCTTGAGTCTAGGCATTCATATTTCAGTGTGGAGAAGCTATTAGAACAATGATGCTAGCAAGTGTTTAGTTCCCCACTTTAATCATCATGTATAGAAAACTACAGAGACAAGAATACCTAGGTTCTAATTGCAGATTAGTGCTTCCGTGAGAGGGAGGATTAGAATGCAAGTGTTATCTATCCCAGGGTCCTTCAGAGGGAACATATTCCACATACACACAGACCTACCATGATGAATTAAACTGATATTCATATAAAAAGATATTTGGGCAATAATGTAATAAAGGAAATATTCTGTTAAACATAGAATTGAGCACTATGTTGCTTTTAATGCTTATGGAATACATGTTGCTTGAATCTTATTAGACCTAGCATTTGGTAACCTTTCTATTTTGACTATATGGACTGCCAGAAGTTCTGCTCACTGTGAAGACTTCCCTTCACCAGTGTCTTTCCAAGTTGTCCCAGAAAGGGGTTGTAATGCTGTAACTGTTCACTTCTGGGTATATAACCATCAGTAAAATAGCCTCTAGTCTCCTCCTCAGCTGGTCCACCTCAGGGAATACCCCATGAGGCTATTGGTGCATGCTTGGCAGCAGGCAACATTGTAATGGGAGTAGAAACCGTAGACATTTTTCCAACTTCTTCATGGAACTTGCTTGTGCCTTCAGGACCTGCTCATACACAATCATGGATATACCACTTCCATTTGATAATAGATTGCTGCTGTGCATATGCTAGTTTAAGGATTGATGGGTCAGATAAAATCCAGCTCATAAAAGGCATCTCAGATATCACAGTCGCTTTGTGGCCCATTTGTCAAACATTGCATTTCTACTAAGGCCTGATAGTGGGATAAGATCTGTCTCTCAAAGGGAGAATAGTCAGCAATTGATGGTAGACTCTTGCTCTAAAGTTTCTAAGCAGCATCCCTACCTGCCATTGACACCTCATGAATTATTTGATATACTGGATTATATGATCCAAGTGGAAGGACAGCCTGCACAGAAGCCTGGACCTGCTGAAGAACCTTCTGTCCAAGGCCCTACTCAAAACTAGAAGCTCCTGAGTCACTTGGCATATGGGCCAGAGTAATGCACCCAAGTGAGGAATGCATAGTGTAAAGAATCCAAATAGGTCCTCTAAATGTTGTGCTTCTCTTTTGTTGGTAGGATGGTCCAGGTGTAATAACTTATCCTTTGCTCTGGAAGGAATGCCTCTAGAGGCCTCACATACTGGATTTCTAAGTATTTCACTGAGGTGGAAGCCCATGAAATTTGAATGGATTTATTTCCCATTCTTTGATGTGTGTATGTGTTACCAGTGAGTTCAAAGTGGTTGCTACCTCCTGCTTACTTGGTTCAGTCAGCATAATGTTATTAATATAATGAATCAATGTGATATTTTGTAAAAGAAACAGATGATCAAAATCTATTCAAACTAAGTTATGACACAGAGATGGAGAATTAAGATATCCCTGTGGTAAAACTGTAACAGTTTGCTGATGGACTTGTCAACTAAAGACAAATAGATTCTGGTGGTCCTTATGGACAGGTATTGAGAAAATGGCATTTGCTAGATCAATAGCTGCATACCATGTACCAGGAGATGTGTTAATCTGCTCAAGTAAGGATGCCACATTTGGTACAGTAGCTGCAATTGGAGTCACTACTTGATTGAGTTTTCAGTAGTCAACTGTCATTCTCCATGGTCCACCTGTTTTCTGCATTGGCCAGATAGGAGAATTAAAAGGAAATGTGGTAGGAATTATCATCCCTGAATCTTTCAAGTCCTTGATGGTGGCACTAATTTTTGTAGTTCCTCCAGGGATGTGAAACTGTTTGATTCAATTCACTCTTCTTTTGGCAGAGGCAACTCTAACGCTTCCATTTAGCCTTTATAACCACAATAGCCCTCACTCTACATGACAAGGAACCAATATGAGAATTCCGCCAACTTCTAATTCTATTATAGATTCTGATGTCAAGTACGTTTGTGATTTATCAATTTGGACTCCTTTTGAGTGTTTCTTATTTGAAGGTATTACAGATAAAGCTGTTTATACATCTGCAGATAGATTTTTGTATGGACATAAGTCCTTAATTCTCTGTATAAATGCCCAGGATTACAAATAAATATATACTTAGATTTTAAAGAACTTGCCAAACTCTTTTACTGGTTGGGTAGTCTAGAATATCAATAACATAATCAAAGTAAAATAAAAACTACATAGAAGTTGAAACACATTCCTATTTCCTTTGTTCCTCAAGTCCCAAGGCTTGGAAGCATCCAAGACTGCCAATTTCTCCTGTGTTATACCCACCAACAGCAAAACCTTTCAACTTGACCTTCAAACTACATTTAATTACTTTATTGTGCTTCCACAGCTTACCACCTAAGTCCAAATCAATATTGCTGATAGCTTGGAGTACTGAATTAGTCTTCTGTATTTTCCTTCTATTGCTATTCTTCCCTAGAATCTCTGTCTAGTGCCCCCATTTAAAGTTAATATACAGCACCATTCCTCAGCACATGTATCCTCAGTGCACACAAACAAAGCCTACATTACTTACTCTATTTCCCCATACATGTAGAAATGTATTTTATTTTATTTTATTTTTATTTGTCCTTTGAGAATATCATATAATGTGTTTTTGAGGATACTCACCCTCCAACCCCTCCCAGATCTGATGGTTATTCTTGGTTGTCAATTTGACTATATCTGGAATTCAAATCCAAGTGGCTGGGTACATCTGAACGGGATTTTTCTTTTTGATAATTTTTTTATTTAAATTTGAAACAAACTTGTTTTATGTGTCAATCCCAGTTCCCTTACCCTCCTGTCCTCCCCTGTCCCCCACCAACCTCCATCTCATCTCCTTTCTGCTCCCCAAGGAGGGTGAGACCTTCCATGGGGAGTCTTCAAAGTCTGTCATATCATTTGGAGCAGGGCCTAGGCCCTCCCCTATGAGTCTAGGCTGAGGGAGTATCCCTCTATGTGGAATGGGCTCCCAAAATCCATTTGTATATTCGGGATAAATTCTGATCCATTACCAGAGGTCCCACAGACTGCCTAATCCTCCTAACATCCACATTCAGTGAGTCTGGGATGGTCCTATGCTGGTTTCCCAGCTATCAGACTGGAGTCCATGAGCTCCCCCTTATTCAGGTCAGCAGTTTCTGTGGGTTTCTCTAGCCTGGTCTAGACCCCTTTGCTCATCACTCCTCAAGAGGGTTTTTTCTTAATTAAATCATTTGAAATATATATACATATATTCCTAAAATAAATGTACACTTGTACATAGAAAGAGTTGAAGTGGAGTTACCCTAAACAGGACAACAATGACTCTGTTTGATATCACAGACTAACAAATAAAAAGCTCCATGCCAGGGTTGCATTACCTTTTTAGGAGTTGTTGGCCAGTGAGGTCCCATAGATCCTCCCCAAATACAGGCTATTGCTGATGATATTGGATATCCTTTGGAGGAGCTGATATTAAGATCCTATTGTTGAAGACACTGTATTTGAGTCACACAAAACAGAGATAGCTATCAGGTTGGTACCGGTATGGAAGTATAATCTCTCCTGGCTTGCTTTCATAATGCTGGGAGGTTCTATCCATGTTACCAAAGAAAAAGAGTAATCATTAGTCCAGACTTACCCAGATGTAAACCCTGGGAGCTATGATAATATCTGCCCGAAAGACATGCCCACTGATGCAATGGAGCACAAACATCCTGTGACTTCTTAAATCTGATTGGCTTTAAGTTCCATCTTACAAGAGGAAACCAATTCCTCGCACCATTGTCAAGTCAAGAACCTTTGGCTAGATAGGTCATAGGCCTGAGGGGAAACTTACTACTGTTATTATGCTAAATGGAATAGTATTAAACTGACTCTGAATGATTTATCATACTCACAGATTATTGCATCTCAGCCCCATCAGAGATTTGCAGTAG